ATCGCCCATCACCCTTCTTTCTATAAAAATTAAGTGATCTAACAGTCTCTTCTAAAATAGTCAATGAAAAGTTTATACTTTTATCCAATTGCTCAAAAAAGTCAATCACTGATGCTTCTATATGTCCTAACACCTTAGAGAATATCATCAATCCATACATGGCCAAAGCAAACACATCCAACCCCTAATTAGTATCAATATATTTTTTTATATTCTCAAGTAGAAAAGCTGATGTAATAGTCTCAACCTTATTTTTTTCTTTCTTGTGCTTGTCTATCTCCTCAACCCTTACTTGCATGATCTTGGCTAACTTCTTTCTATATCTAGTAGTCTTATGCTCCTTCCAATAGATCTTATCTTGATTTGTAGACTCTATCCGGAGTAAGGATGAATATTCTTCAATCGTGGGGGTCAAGTCTTCTTGGTTGAACACAAAGCATTGATAAGATGGATCCCATAATTGTACTGCTGCTTTAATCAGCTGTTCATCAATCTTTACTGACATGAGTAGTGTCACATCCTCATATTTTTTGAAAAAATGATTCCTTTCTTTTTGTTCCCCACTGTTTCCAGATAGCATCCAATTCTGATGTGTCATTTTGATTGAGATCCACGTACACTAACATGGTAGTGACAGGATATGACCATCTATTAAACAATCTCTTTTTTTCTCCTGAATACTTTCTGATTGGCTTTTAACCTCTAAGTAGCTCTTACACATGGATGACATCCTGTAGGTTTCCTAAAAGTTTTTTTTTGCTGAAAATTGATCCAAAACAATATCCTTTTAAGAAATATGATACCTATATGATGCATGCAACAAAATTATATGCAACAAATTAAACAAATCAATAATGTAAATAAAACAAATAAGTAAATAAGTAAACAAACAAGTATGTGACAGAATAGAATATACAATGTCCTAATTTTAGGTAATTTTCTAAAGAAGGACAGCATGGCTCTATTCTAAGGTTAGGCCTTACGGCTCACTATATGCCGAGTTAAGATTTACGTATCTAAAGGTTCCTAGATTATTTCTCAAACTATTGTCTGTTATAGACTAGTACGGCTCCCCGATCTTCACCTATTATAGGTTACTAACAGAAAGGGTTTAATTTAAGTGAAAGTATTTCGCTAGCAAATGCAGAGGTTATCACCTCATGATAGTGTAGCTACTTCACTTTCTTCTAAAAGGAATAGAGCCTGGGTCTAGAGCTCATGCATGTGAATGAATATGCTAAAATGTGTAAAGTGACGTATTAATCAAAATATCATAAACGTAAAATCAAAAAAATAAAATAACAACTAACATACAATTTATCTTATTCATTAACGTGTACATATATAATTTTCTTGAAAAAAGGATTAAATTAAATGTAAAATAAAACCAATTAAATCCAACAATTCTAATAGTACATAATTAAAAATTTTGGCTTGACTCTCAAAAGTCCCCAATGGAGTCGCCAAGCTATCATAATGATTTTGGAACTGCTAGACGTAAAGTATTTTAAAATCGAGAAAAATAAAAGGAGAATCGCCATCAATTTGTTTTATAGTATGATTGGCCACCCAAAACTTTATTTTTTTAGTAAAATCATAAAAGCGGGTTTAAAGTTTATCAAAAAGATAAATTTTGGTCTATGAAAAACCAAGTTAGGCTCTGGAGTCAGTTACACGTGGAGAAAGATTAGCACCCCCACAGCGCCCATAAATTGGTACCATTTAATTATGCGCTATTTTCGGTGTTGGATAAAAATGGTTTCAATTTGAAATTTAACACTAATTCCCTTTACTTAAAAAAATTTTGGTTAAAATTCCTTTTTTAGGAATATTAAAGAAAAAGTTAAAGAATTATCTTAAAATTCTCCAACATCTAGGTAGAATTTAAAATAACTCTTTTCCTTTAAGATTTAATATGATATTCCTTAAAATAAAAAAATAACACTCTTTGTGAAAGATAATTGTTGGTGACTCCCCAACATCTAGGCAGAATACCAAGAATTATTTTCTTCGGAATGTTATTTCTGTTTTATTTATACATCAATTTTTGTTTTATGAAACATTTTATACGAGAAAGTAAATAATGGTATTATTAGGTAATAAATAAAGATCAAAGATAGGGGAATGCGAAATGAGTGTCAACAATAATATAATGATGTATATATATGCCAATGGATATTATGCAAGATGAAATGCAATTTTAAAGTTGTACTTTTAAGTATAATGAGACCATCTCGACTCTTCAACATCTAGGCAGAGCTTAAGTGTAACTGTTTATATTTAAGATCCCAATTTACTAGTACTTTTTATTTAATAATCCCCTTATTAATGCGAATTAATAATTCATGTGAAAAAACTTAATGAAATAAAGTTTCCTAAATACCCCATCATCTAGGCAGCATTCAGGAACAAATCATTTCATGTGAGATTTTCACACGTATTCTTAAAGTTTCGAAGTAGATTTAGGGTATAGGTTTAGGACGTGCACAATTTTTAGGGAATGATTAGGGGGTGTATGCTAACTTTGGGTTCAGACTCTTAGGGTTTGAGATTTTGGATTTAATGTTTTGGATTTTAAGGCTTGGGATTTTGGATTTTAGAGTTTTTGATTTTAAGGTTAAAGAAAACGCGAACATCTCTGAAAATCCCCAACATCTAGGTGAACTTTTGGAGCAAGTTTAATTTTTATAATTTTTAAGAAAATAAATTTTTATTATGAAGAGTTAATATTAATTTATTTAGTTTTAATATTATTTATTATTTTTAATAATAATTCCTCAATATTTAGGCGAAATTATCATTATTTAAAACACGATTGTATTCACTCCAACATATAGGCAGAGAGAAATGTATTATTATTATTATTTTATGCATATTTTTATTACTTTTATTTAATACTTGGATTATTAAAAAAATTAAAAGGAATTAAAAGTTAAAAAAAAATCATTTGAATTTTTATTATTGTTATTGTTTTTTAATTATTATTATTATTATTATTATTATTATTATTATTATTATTATTATTGTTAATTATTATTATAAAACAAAAATTATTTATTTTAATAAACTCTAAAAAATTTTAAAGCATGCATAAATAACAATAATAATAATGTTAAAAATGATATAAATAAAAAAATAACAAACTTTTGAAAAAAAAATTTTTTTTACTTGAATCGGACCGGTCAACAATCCAGTCAACGATAGTTCGGCTGGGCCAAAAACAAGAGAGGTTCGACAAGCAGTTCAGTTGAGCCGGTTGAATGACGGTTCGACGCGTTGTTCAGTTGAACTGGTTCAAGGCTGGTTGAGGAAAATGGGTCAGCGGGCGGTTACGCGGATCTCGGGTCAGGTTCGGATAGACACGCAAATCCTCTTGGGTCTAATACAACGTCATTTTGGGCTTTGTTTTTCTTATATATAAGCCTAATTTTTGTTTAGTTGTTTGTTTTTGTTTTTGTTTCTGCTTTTCTGTTTGGGTGTTAGGATATAGGTGTTTTGTGCTCTTGGGAATGCAGGGTGTTTGTGTATGTGTATCCGAGCCTATAAGGGAATGAAGTTGGGTTTTTTATAGGACCGGACGTATATTTGGGACAATAGGTGGTCTAGAGGTTATAGGGGTGGCTGTAGGTGTCTGTAACGTGTGGCTGAAGGTGTCTGTAAGGATGGCTGATTTGGTTAGGTCACAAGCATGGCTGGTCTGATGGGATTGGTTTGGTGGCTGGATGGGGTGGGTGGTTGGCTAAATGGGGCCGACAGTGCCACCACTTTTTTTTAATTAATTTTTTAATTTTATTATATTTTGTTTAATTAATAAATATTAAAGTAACAAAAATAATAAAATAAAATGTAAATATGTTTTGAGCTTAAATAAAGAGATTGGGCTTTGGGCCCAATTGAATCAGATTGGACCTGAAACCCAGTTGAATCAAAATCGAGCTTGGAGTCCAGTTGAGTCAAAATCGAGCTTAGAACCCAATCAAATCGAAATTAGGCCTGAGTCTAAAAACCCGATATGCGACGAACTTTAAAACGAGACTTGACTAAAAACCGGATAAATTTAATGTCTACAATCATTTATGAATCTATGATATTCATAAATTCAATTAATTGTGAATGAATATACTTAGTGCTTAATTTATTAAAAAGTATAAATACACATGAAAATTTAACACATTAGATCTACAGTAATGTGCAGAATATCATCTAGATAGTAAATATAATAGGATACCTCAAATAGAAAGAGTATAATTCTGTTTGGTCTTCAAAATCAAATATGAAAATCCGTCGCTAAAAATGCTATTTGTAATTTTTTATAAAATAATGACGAATGATGTGGCAATTAATTTTTAATAAGAAGCTGAAAAAAGTACAAATCCCCATCGAAAACAAAAAACTATTATCATAAAAAAAAAACTAGTAAATTCTCTCTTGCTTCGTTAAGAGAAGTATTAAAGAATCTTTTATTAAAAAAATATAAAAATATAAATTAATAAAGTCTTTTATTTTAAAAAATTATAAAATAGTTATTTTAAATTAAAGAATTTTTACAAATATAATATTTATTTTAAATTCTTCTTTCTTCTTATCTTTCTTTTTTTGTATAGATTTTTTTCTTTTGATTCAAAATTTTGTCGCCTCTTTTTAAAGATATAAATTGATAAAACTAATATGAATACTTGATAATATTTTAACTTTTTCACAAAAATTTATTAAAGATATTTAAAAATCAAATCTATAAAAAAATTTAAATCCATGCAAAAAAATACAAACTACTTTATATATATAAATCAAAAATTATATTAGCCCAACAAATTAATATTTTTCTCAAAAGCATAAAAACCATTTAACTATGCAATATAAAAAATACCCATCCATCTAAAAAATATTCCAACTACACTTATCAAATAGATAGATCATGTAGTTAACTTCTATTTAGTGTAAGGTGTAAGATGTTAGATATTGATTTGATAAACCAAGGAGCATAGGATATTGAACACGCAAATCACTTATAATATATATGCAAACTTTGTGGTACATGTATTTAAATGACAAATAGAGTTCTTTTTTTTTTTTTGGTTCTTTCGTCATCAATGACAATAGAAGTCAATTACACGAGTTTATTATTTTTTTAGTAGTATAAAATAAAAATAAATCACAACACACCCTTCCACAGCTGATAAAAAAAGTAGCCAACACGTGAGACGGTGGTCCTTTCACAAATTGAAGAAGATAAATCTCAGCCACTAGAAGAAGGCTTGTTAAGGCCTGCTTAATTTCCTTCATATTGAACTTGAATCGGACCCTCCGAAATCTCTCCCCCAACCCCACGCCCCTCAAAAATACACATACTATTCCATCAAACAGTAAACAAACAAAATATCAGAAAACCCTCTCAACTTTTACTTCAATTTTTTATGCACTAATAATAAATCGGCACTCATATTTTTCATAGAAGTTGAACCAACTTTGTAAAGTGTAGTAAATGCCTTACTTAGTGTCAAATTAAAAGCAATCACTCTTGTTTTATAGCTATATTTGCTATTAGTCCTACCTAACTAGTAAACAAACATTACCTAAGGATCCCAAAGAGAATCACCTTGCATATCTTCCCACTCATTCTCCTCATTCTCATTGGAAAACATCATTGATTCATCCATCATCCACATTTTGGGAGAGTCCAGAGGGCACTCATTGATAGCCTCAATTTGGCTCTGAGACAGCCTGACAGTGACAGGACCGACGCTGGCGCTGGAGCTGCCAGCCTCGGACCCTGCCGCGCTAGTCCTTACCTGCAAGGCCGCCTCGTGAGCTGCCATTCTGATATCTTCAGCATTGGAACCTGCTGGCTTGGGAAGACAAGTCACCAACTCAGGGAAGTTAAGACGTGCCTCGCGACCCCTGAAGTGTAACGCTGCTACATCATAAGCAGCGGCTGCCATTTCAGGTGTCTCAAAGCTTCCTAGCCAGATTCTAGTCTTTTTTCCAGGCTCTCGAATTTCAGACACCCATTTGCCCCATTTTCTCTTGCGAACGCCTCTATAGCTTGAAGACAAGCCGGCCCGCGCACTGCTGTTAGTCTTTCCTTCCATATATTTATTGGTTTCTTGTTTTTGTTGGGGAAAACTGATTGGTTCATGAATGAGAAAGTGTAATCCAGTTAAGGGTATTTATACAAGTGCTGGGATTACTGTTACGAGGGCACTAAAAATCCTGGACGATGTAAGCTTCCAAGCAACTGCAAAAGTAAAAAGGATTTTGAAAATGTGCATGTTAAGAACCTAGGAAATCCAAAGGAATTTAAAAAAAAAAAATTCTTTTGTGAACAGAACCAATCAAAGGGTGACAAGCTTGTGAATTTGTTTTTCTTTTTTTAATACCCAGATTTTATGGACAAAAACAGAGAGCTTCCTGTGGAAGACGCGGTTTGATCCACGTTGGCGAGGGCTTTGGACCCACTGATCCATTCAAAACAAAACGAATCAGTCTGATTGAATGAATCGTTGTGCTTAATTCGATCATTCTAGAAATATTGTATGATTCTTACCTGCGGTTTGTTATTAGCTTTTTGGTTTTCTTCTTCCTCTGAGCTCTGCGAACTGCGTCATCGCTTGCTTTTTCGAGACAAGATTGTTTAAATAATAGATAATTCACAATGAAATATGAAACTGACGTCATCTTTGTTGGTTGACGACAGAATCAGAGAGCTAGGGTAAAAAAATAACCCACTTTGTTTATCCATGAAAAGTGACATTGCTATTGTGGTTTAAAAACAATTCCGATTTGAGGCGTTTAGAATTTACCTTGGAGGCAAAGAGAAAATTTTAAAATTATGGGATCTTAGATTTAAGTTTTATTATACGTAGGTTTCACTCAATTTTATGTTAGATTTGTTTAATTAATTATGTTTTAATTTATTGATTAATTAAATAATTTTTTTACATACAAATGTAATATTTGATTATAATAATTATAACTTTTCTTTTATTTGTAATTTTTTAAAAAAATTTAATTTGAAAAACTGTGTACGAAAAATGGTGTGAGAATTATCATGAATAATTATGATTTGAAATTTTTGAGTGTTTGATTTTACAATAAAGAAATGTTATTAGAGATAAAATATCTAAAAATAAATGAGGTTATAAAAATGTGTAAGTGCCGATTAATCTTTAGATCAATTGGTACATTAATAAAGTTGGTGTTTAGAAGTTAGAGATTTGAGAAAGTTTATGGGCATAATAATGTGTTTTTCAACCAAGTAAATAGTAATATAAATATATATATTACTTTTAGATTTTCTTAAAAAATAAAGTTCCTAGAAATAGTTATATTGCCTTTATAAATTCAAAATACATAAATATATCATAAAATGGTAATGTATATATTTAACATAAATAAATAAGGTCAAAAAATGAATAGCTTTATGCACAGCGTATAAATGAAGTATGGATGTATTTGATCATTTTGCCTTCAAACCATAAATTATCAATATCAAAAGCAGCACCTGCCAAAGTGCTCTTGTAGTATTTCATATTTTGCTGCCGCCAAAAACTGGTTCTAATTTTAAATCTATCTTGTATGGGATTTTTGGTGTAGATATTTGATATTGACTATTAATATTTTATTTTTTAAATTTCTCTAAAGATGTTTTACAAAATTCGGATTATCGAATACATAATGAGAGTAATTCTGAAAACACACTTGTTTCAATAATGATTGCTTCAATGGAAAAGTTGTTTTATTAGTAATTCAGAACACTAACAAAATTGTTTTATTAAAGGTTATTCCACATATCAACATTTTTACGGAATAGCACTCTAGCACCTTCACTGAAAAGTCCTTCACTAAGAATTATTTTACAAAGATTGTTTTATCAAATATTATTTCACTGAATAGAAAAATTAAAAATAACTTTGGAATATGTTGACTATCCCATGGATCAATTGGCCTGTCATTAGAGTTTATATTTAGAAGTTACGGATTTACAAGAGTTTGGGCGCATAATGTCCTTTTCAACCATATGAGTATTAAGGTAAGGGGTTAAGGGTAGATTAAAAACTTCAAAAAAAAATTTTTTTTGAAATATGGCAAGTTTCTTAGGTTAACTTCACAGTTGGGATGTTCTTAATAACTTAACTAGGTGAATCAGATATATAAATAATTAAAAGGTCTCTTCTTAACTTTCTCTGAAATATGAGTGTTTTGTTAGGCAAAAAAGCTTCCAATCAATTAACCATCCAAGCAAGTAGAAGCAAACTAAACAATCAATAAATCATATAAGAGACAACAACTTAACATTATTTAATACAACCCGCCTACATCCATAGATGAAAAAAAATAAATTCACTAGTTATAGAGAATTACAAACAAAAATCAAGTCAAACACTCATAATCAATACTCATAGACTCTCTCATTCTTCTCCAGTCCTATTGAGTATTTTCAATTCAAACAAACACATATACCCATGTGCATCTATGTAATTCAAGTTGGTCTTTCACTTACATTTTCGTTTAATAAGTAATTATATATGATTATGTTCATATATATATCTTGCATGTACTTTATCTAACATTGGTATCAAAGATAGGTTGGCTTATGTTCTGATTCATTTCTATGTTTTTCATAATCGAAAACTGAATATGTGTTTGCATGTTTGCAAACACCCACAGAAGTTCATATAATTTTTTGTATTCTTGATATAATTAATATTGTTGCGATAAGTCTAGGAATTAAAAAAAGAGAGGAAATACCATTAATATTTTGCTATTTCATATCATATTTTTTCCAGTTTCTAGATGGTGCGTCCGGATGACCTAAGCAAAAAAAATTAAAAAAAAATTTAAATATTGTCCTTGATTGACTTTGGGATGTCAAATCACACAAGAATGTTTGAGACAAGTTTTAATCATTTTTTGACTTGTTTTGACTCATGAATTCATGATTTTTCTCGTACTTTGTTATAGAGAATATAACTATTTTCGTGAGTTGTCCCATTGTTATAAGGACACAGATGTAATTTCTTAGAGCTATAAGCCTAATGGTGGAATTGACATAATATTGAATGGATCCAAATAATGATATTGAGAGGCATAACATTAAGGTCAATGGCACAATCTAAGAATTGATATGGTATAGCTACATACACATTAAGAATAACCAGATCAAATATGAAAATTGATGGGTACACTTTTGACTTTTAGATAAAAGAATCTTATTCAAGATGCTTGGATGTTTTTGGAGAGTAATCCTAAGTATAAAACTTTAATTAAGGATTCATGAAAGAATATATGAAAATGGGGGCGAATAGGAGTGCAACCATCTCAGTATGCCCAAGTCTCTATAATAGAAAACACAAAATTCTTGGAGTTTCATGAATAGACAACGTGAATTCAAAACTATCATAAGAGTTTTTAAAATCAATGCTTATTTTTAGACATGTCATCCGAAATGATTAGGAATATATTTAATTAACATTCAGTATGTATATTTTTTTCATGAACATGTTTATAGATTCAAATTATGTTTTGTAAAACTTGTTTATGTGAAATCAATATATGTGTAATTGATTATATGTTGGTAACCTTATGGTTAATGGGAGTTGTAAGATAATTGGTTGTTCTATCTTAAAATGATTGATTTTGCACAATGAAATAAATTAATGATAATCAAACACATTAAAAAAAATGAAATTTGATTATGAATATAGTGATCTTTTGGTTTCATTTTTATGTAAATAATTGTCATTATTTTATTTATGACATTATGGAAAAATGAGCAGTGTGCAATGTTAGGCATTAATTATTGCATGTCTCTTGAATGTAGAATTATACTTTGAAATGGCTTTTGCTTCAAAGAACATTGTTCCTGAGTTAAATAAGGGTGAAAAGCTAAATACAGACCATTATGAGTTCTGGAGTATGAAAATCCAATATGTACTTGAAGAATAAAAGGTTTTTAATGTTCTAAATAATGTCCTTGATGAGCCCGAGGATGGAAAGACATCCCAGCACAAGAGAGATTGAAATGCTTATGAGGCTTGAAAAAAAAAACCTCACTGCACTTATTACGATACTTAGAAGTATGAAAAATAATGTCATACGCTAGTTTCAGTCTCATGGAATAGCCAAGAGATGTGGAGTGCCTTGAAAGCAAAGTTCGGTGCAACTTCAGTTACCAAACTAAGGCAGCTTACTATTAAATTTGACACCTATAAAAGCAACGTAATCAGATTATGAGGTAAAATGTGAGGCAAATGTCAAACATGATAAGTGAGCTGAATGAGGCTTGCTACACTCTAATAAATGAACAACAGGTTCAAGCCATTATTCATTATTTGCCACATAGCTAAGAGCACATAAAGTTGCACCTTACCCATAATGAGAGTATAAAAACTCTCGATAACGTTTCTTATCATTTTTAATTGGAGGAAGATCGTATGGAACTATCTAAGCCTAGTGTTGATGCATATATGGCATCGTCTAGTTCAAAAAAGCTTTGGGCTTCAAGCATAGGCCAGGTGGGAATAAAGAGAAAACTTCGAATAGGCCAAAAAGTGGCCAAACCAACAAAGGGCAAGGTCTAATGCTCACATTAAGAAGTGCAAGCAGAGAGTTAAGTCTTTTAATTGTGGTAAAAAATGTCATTTTACTCGTGTTTGCAAATGAGCTAAATAAGGTACAAACCTTTCAAGCATTTTTACATAATGCTAAAAGTATTGTATTTGTTTCTAGTACTGTTATGATGACTAAATTACATCATTTGTGGATTGTAGACTCAGGGGTCACAAACCATATAGCTTAAGACAGGAATGCATTCATGGATTTTTGTTAGATTCCATGCAAAACAAAATGGATTTATGTAGGAAACAATTCATTAATTGAAGTAAGGGGAATTGCCACCTGTAAGCTATGCATACGTGATGGAAAAACCCTTATCCTACATGATATATTTTTTACTCTTGATATTCAATGAAATTTGATTTTTGTTACTATTCTTCTTAGTTTATGATTTGTTTTAAATTTCAATAATATTGGTTTGAGTTTGTATTTGGATACAACTTATTATGGATCTGGATATTTGTCTAATGGTTTTATTATGTTAGATATTGTTATGTACAATAATCTAAGTTTTTCTTTTATGGTTGATTTTAATGTGAATATTGATGTGAATATTTGACAAT